TCGGTCAGCGCTCGGGGAAAGCTGCCGGGGGAGCACGGCGTCGTCTGCGAGGTTCCCGCCTGGTGATCGCAGGGGACCGCCCGCTGTCGGACCCCTGCGCGCAGGGATGAGTGCCTGCTCATCCCCGGCGATGCTGCCCGGCCAGTGCCGCGGTCCTGGGGCGGATGGAGCAGACCGTGCCGTGCCCAAAAGGGAGAAACTGGGGTGGAATGAGCGGGCGAACCCTCCTCAGGAGCCTGCCGCGTTTGGCTTCATCCAAGAACGTGAGCTACTGCGTTGGAAAACTGAGCAGTTAGTATTCCTGGGTGAAGCGACAGCTCCTGATGTCAACAGGGCTGAGGCGTAAGGCACATAGGTGAAACAGAGCAATAAAATCCATACAAATGCAAGGAAATGGTGCTGAATCCAGCCAGTTGAGTGCATTTTCCCTTGTACTAAATCCAGGCTGGAGTGTGAGCTTGTAATACGTAACATTTGTTATGTAGGTGGGTCCAAGAGCTGTCTGTGTATGAGATGGAGACCCAGCTGTAAATCAGCTCTAAGCAGGCTGTGAGGTGGCTAAAGAGCCCGGCTAAAGAGATGGGCTCATATTACAAAGTTGTTCATTTTGGTAGCAGGAGAGAGAAGGGGGAGAAAGAATGAGACGCAAAACCATTCAGGTATTTTAATAGAAGTATTTCTCATTATTGTTCTTGTCCTCTGCATCTAATCACTCCAGTCTATTTACAGTCTTTTCTTTAGTTTCCTGTTGGGTTCCATCCAACCAGCACCCACGTTTCCATTCCACTTAACAGGGCGTTGCAGCTACAACGCACACAGGCTGTGGTGGGTGCTCCCTGTACCTTGGCACTTTCACCATGGGTGACATCAACAGCCTGCATGGCGCTCGCATCTGTCCTGCCATGCCGTGCCTTACGCAGCATGCCCTTCTCTCCTGCCCGGCATGACTGACTCTGTGACTTGTCACCTTGGACGACCCTTCACAAGCTCAACCTTAACAGAGCCCAAAGCTCCTTAATTTTCCTCTCCACTTGCGCTTTTCCCGGTTACCTTCTCTGTCTTACTCAGGCTCAAAGGTATGGGGTTGGCGCTGCGTCCTCCCAGCCCTTCACACCACACACCCACGCTGTTACAGGCTTGCAGCCTCTTACTCCTTCCCCACTGGTCTCTCTCCATAGGCAGAATGTGAATCCATCCCCTGTTTGTACAGCTGCCGTACTCGGAGGCCTTAGCCACAGACAAGAAAGTGCTCTCGAAAGTGTTCTTCTTAGCAGCTGTCTGTATCAAATCTCTGCTTGGCAAAATAAGAAATAAATCTCTAGCCTACATTTTCAGCCTTGTGGATCCTGGCTGCTAAGATACAAGACTCCTGCCTTAGCCATGCAATTTGTCAATGCTAAAATAGTGTGGCCTTTCAATCAAATGAAACCAGTTTCATCTGGGAATTAAACTAGTCCTCTGTGTCCCGTTGCAGCAAGCGTATATTTTTCATATTCAGTTCTTTAGTTTTTTCCTGCTAAAATCAAGGAAATATGAGCAAAACCCCAATATGTAGTTAATAAATGCATTAAAACATTTGGCTGTAGCTGCATCATCCTTATCAAGCAAGGGCACAAACAGTGACAGACAAATCAGTGTCTAAAAGATAAGCCGAAGAAGCTCTTGCTAGGTTCTGGTCTTAGTGATACCAGTAAAAAAAATCTAACCTCTTTCTTCAGCTTTCCCCAGGATGTGAATTTTACCCATCTGAGAAATGCGCTGGATTGTGCGTGTCTCGCAAATGAAGCACTAGATACCTGCTAGTACAAGCTAAGGAAAAATGGATCAAGAAATAAAAAATACGCTACTGGGAAGTGACTGCATGCTTGCTGACGGGGGAGAAAAATTGCGCCTCTCCGTTGCAGAGCTGTCTCAATTGTACGTCTGTCTTTGCCAAAAGGCTGTGCTACGTAGCTAGGTCAGATTTGCAACAGAGAGCCAATGCCTAAAGCAAAAGCCTTAGGGGACCAGCTTCAGATCCCGCACCACTTAAACACTACAGATCTCTGCTCCCTTCAGTGCTGTTACACCCAGATCAATTAGGTATGAGGTTAGAAACTACTTTTGAAGTCAAGTCCCTGATTTTCTTGTGTAAAGACATTGGGATATTGCTTCATCATTAGGACCACAGCCTGGGGGAAGACTGTTATTGAAGTTGTGGCATATACAGCAAGAGGTTAAGAATTTTTTTTGTTTCAAGCTTTCATTAATCCATTTCTTGTTACTGACTGTACCTTTATTGTACTTCGGTTAAATAAACCAAAGGGCATGAAGATCACCAGGGGTGATCAGGGCTGAGCAGAAGAGGCATCTTGCAGATGGTATAGATGCAGCTATGCAAGTAAAGCAGGTGGATACTAAGGAGAGGATTTAGTGTCTGTTAGTGTTGTTGGAGCTTGCATTCATAAGGCAAGGAGAACGGCCTGCCAAACTAAACCACAGGAATGCTCAAACAGGTGTGACGGAGGATGTGGAGCGGCAATGGAGTTAACTGTTAAGGAACATGAGGTAGATTCAGGAGTACAACAAAAGGAGAGGGAAAAAAACATAGGACTTCAACAGTTTAAAGTGACTAAGGGGAAAAGGAATGGGAGATAATGGCCATACTCTGTTAATTATAATTAAAAAATGCTTAACAGCAGAAAGAATTTTTATTTTGGCCTGGAAACCTTTAGGAAGGAGAAAAAGGCAATCGTAGCTTTATTTGTTACATCCTGAAACTGTTTTGTCCAGCTTTTGGGAAAAGGAGGAGCTAGTTTCCCTTTAGCAGTATATGGTCTGCTTCCCCAGAGTGAGCGTTCCGATGTTAGTGCCGGGTGACTAACAGTGCCAGATCTGCCTGTTTTTCAGGAGAGTGGTGAATCACCCCAGAGCCAGAGGAATCAACAGGGCTGGCGTGACACGTAGCAGTGGATTAAAACTGTCATTAGCTTCATCTTGCGTTTCAGGCTCTCATTCGCTTTAATAAGCTGAGGGCACACACTGGCTTTTACCAAAAGTTGTTCTATTCAGAAAATACCAGCTGGGGACAGGAGGATTGCCAGTTCATTTCCAGGTACCACCACATCTTCCTCCCACAGCTTGGCACTGCTTTCCTCTCTCTATAGTGAGCAGACAGGAGAATCTAAAAAATAAATCTGCCCCTTTTCCCTAAGGCTTCAGTAAAGATTACAGCTACTGCAATTGGAGGTGAGGTTCAAACAATGCCACAGACATTTTAAAGCGAGGTAAATCAGTACTATTCCCCTGATACTCACAATGCCATATCCACGTGCATCACCAAGGGTCTTACTCACTTCTGTTTGTTGACTCCAATTCTCACGGCATTTACAAATCTCCTCCAGATGTGAACACTTAACATATAAATATGCAGCCATCCTTGTTTCAAACATGGAAATACAGAAGTGGCATTGTCAAAGCTTCAGTATTAAAGCTTGGGGATCAGGAATGATGTATGGAACAGTAGGCAGGGGTGTATTTGGATTTGTTTGCTACATCCAAAAGGAATGCACTTTCATTGTTAAATGCTTTAACTCGTGGGGTTAAATACAGTCCCGAGCAAAGAGAAGAAAAAATGGCAAAGGACACACCAGCACCTTAAAGAGAACAACCCTAAACTCTAGTAGATACAGTACTGTAAAGACACCAGACTGAAAAACAAAGTCTGCGTATCTAGGACAAGGAAACTGTGCATACAAAGCACCATTCAGGTGGAAATCAAACAAGGCAGGAAAACCAGTCTCCACATTTAGGTGGCCTGCATGTCAACACTAATAATAGGATTAATAGTTTGGGGGACTCTTCTGCAGGACAGAACTTAAGCTGCTGCTGATGCTGACCCACTCCATGTTCAGTCTGTTCACCCCTATGGCTGCTACAGCTCTGACTGTTGTCAGCTGTGTTGGTAGTTTTTGCAGTGTGCCCAATTCATATCCCAAAGACTACTGAGTGCCCATAGATGGGAATGACAAACTTGACTGAGCGATGACAAACTTGATTTGTATTTGAATTAGTTATGTGAGGGGGAAAAAAAAAATCCATAGATCCAAAGAGCATTTTAACATGCCATCAATCCCCAGTGGCCTGGTAGTTGACTGAGAAGTCCTCTGAAGAAAACCCAGCATTATCGTTTTGGCTTTTGAGTCTTGTACACCAAAGTGATCTGCTGCACTATGCTTTTTCCCCTCCCGTTCTCACTTCAAGCTGGTGGGCAATTTTGACCCTGCTGGCAGAAGCTGGCCTCTGTTGCTCTGGTCACCCTGCCCCTCTGTCACACTCCATGTTGCTGACTGATACTGAGGTCCCCCCAGCACTGGTCCATAAAAAAGTTCTCCATGAAGAATCAGAACTCCAATTTCAGACTGGATTTTATCTTGGTTAAAGGCAGACATAGTGAGCAGAGACTGAGGAGACAGTGTGGAGGGTTGTAGCAGGAGCTTAGGGAATTTTGTCTTTTCTTCCTTTAGGGCAGGAAAGAAACTCAAACATTTCCTACTAGCACAGCTTGAGGGATGAGCAAATTGGATACTGAACGTAAAAACTGAGTACAGACCTGCTGGAAACCCCTTTTGCTTGAGCCCATAGCATCCCAAGCCTAGGAGCTCATCTGAGTGCCAGGCTGCAAGCCGTGAACTAGATTGGCTCATGCTTCGGTGCAGTGTAACTCCCTGCTCTTCGCTCCCCATGGCCTTACTCTGCTGCCCAGACACTACGCTGACACCTGGAAGGGCATTTTGAGGAGTCATGTAGATGTCCACGTTGGCAGCTTTAAGGCGAGACACAGATGGAGGAGGCATGGGCTCACATGGCTTGGGCTGGGAACCTCAGCCTTGACTGTAAATGTCAGCACCTTATCCAGGCTGATTTAGTGTTGTCATTTAGTTTCACTTCAGGAGATGGTTTAGTTTCTCTTCCAGTATGAAGAGAAGAAAAATGGGTTTATAGCTAAAATTTTAACAAAGCAGATTTGAGAAAAACCTGAAGAAACTGGTTAGTACGAGCAGGTAGACTGAAGAGTCCAAAGACAGAAATGTGGAAGACCCTCAGAATTTTAAGTCAAAGGCAGAAAGCAATCTACAACTTGCATCCTAAGCAGGGAAGGAAAATTGTTTAGGGAAGTAACCGGCTGATTTCAAAAAGGGTTTAAGAAATAATAGGGAGCTCATACAGGATGGAAAAGGAATAATGCAACAGAGAAACCTCTGTTTTGGCACTTTGCTATGGAATGAAGCAAGAGCTGCAGAACTTACGGGTAATTTACACATTGCAAAGAGTTTAAAACTCAGTAAGAAGCTTTCTAGTCAAATAAAAAGAGGATCAAGAAAGAAGTGAGATAACAGGCAGCAATAGGACTGTCAAGACTAAAGATAGCTTAGATGCAAACCAATAAAAGACAGGATGGTGATCGTTATGAGGCTTTTAAAAAAATACCACATCTGAAGCAAAAGAAAGCAAAAGCACAGTTCTAAGAACTCCTGGTGCTTGTGTCAAGGGAGGTTAAAGAACAGTCACAAACCAAGAGTTTATTAGCAAGGAATGTAAATATATCTAAGTGGGGCAGGTACCACATGACTGGAAAATAGCAAGCAGTGCCTGTATTTGAGACATGAAAAATAAAACGCAATGTAGCAAACTGAAGACCTGTTGGCCTGACCTCAGTAACACACAAATCTTTCTATTATGTGCTTTGATAGAAAGAATAACTCAGGATGCAAATATAGTTGAAATACACAATGGGCTTAGCAAAACACTTCACTGCAGACTAACTTCACAGCTGTCTTCGACAATTGACTTTTACAGAGAAGAGAATGTGCAGATGTAGTTTGTCTAGGCTTCAGCGAAGTATTTAATAGGGTAATGCACGACAAGCTATTAGGTGAGATGCAGGCAGGAACTGTTAAAGGGGAGATGACTGCACTGGATAAGAGAGGAAAACTGGGGGGCATTAACTGGGTACTGTTATTTTGAGCCCAGTGTGGTTCTGGGCTGCATGAGGGGAACACCTGCCAAATCAACAAGAGTTAATGCTGTTGCACAATACCCTGCTGAAGCTGCAAGACTGTTCACAGTTCAAAAGAAAGATGAAAGCATGGACAGAACAGGGAAGAGCTATTAGGCTGATCGAAGGGATGAAGAGCCCTCCCTTCTAGAGGATTCTGGACTTGCTTAGTCTGGCCATATGTAAACAGGGAAATAGGACTGGTTTACATCATGGGGTTTATCCTGGTGACTGGGGGAAAGAGGAGAAGGGAGCTGTTACTCAAACCAAATTGGCACAAAAGCATATGAGCATTAACTGGACGTGAGTGGCGTAGCCTGGAGGTTGAAAACAATTTCCTAACCTGCAAGTTTTTTGCTTTCCTAAGCAGCAAGTTTTCAAAATTGCACCCCCCAACTCTTCCAGATGAAGAACCAATATCAGAAAAATAACTACTTTATGTAGATTTAACTGCAACAGAGATTATGTGATGTCATTATATCTATTACCTACAGTGCCTTTCCATCCAATGCTCTTGTTTAAAGAGCAGAAAGTTTCCACTTCAGGAGGATCACAGGAAATAGCCGGCATGTAGCCTCAGTCAGTTGGAGCCAAGCTCCAGAATTTCCACAGATTTGTGGTGTTGGAAAGGCTTCGTCAGTTTGCGATGATAAGGTTTTATCCTGACTTGCTTGCAGCTGTTCTTGCCCACATCGTCACAGCATCTTCATAACGAGCATTGCTTCTCTGTGGCCTAGATGTTATGGATTCATTTTCTACTAAACCCAAGATGCAGCTAGCTAGAGGATGACCACAAAGCCCCAAACAGGCACAAACTGAGAGTTCTGAAATATCTGATTGATGTACTAGCAGCAAAGCAAGAGCTGCAGAACAAATGCAAACCCTGAAGCACCATCTCATCCCCTGACTACTGAGAAACACCAAACAAGGTGACATTACAGCATCATCTGGAGTTTTGAAGGGTGGAAGGAGGTTGAAATTCATGTTCTACTTGCCAGCAGAGAAGTGAGCTACGAGGTCTGTCACCAAGCTTTAAGAAAGGACCAGAACTAGCCAGCACACTTTCTGAAGACAGGAAGCAGCAGGTTCTCAAGTGTAGTAACAACACAAGAGGCTGCTTCTTGGGAACAAAGCCCATAAACCACACAGCTAAAGAGATGTGAGAAAGGCCTGTAAAGAGAGAGTAAGGGTGAAGTCTGGAATGAGACTAAGCAGCACAAAGAGGAACCAAATCCTCCCTCTACCAGCCAGCTGGTAGAGGCCAGCATGCCCTACTGCAAGGAGAGCAGCCAGTCCCCCAGCAGCCCTGCCCCTCCTTGCTGCGGCCAGAGGGAAGGTTTTGCACCTGCAGCAGTCACTGGTAGTCTTCATCTGAGAGAGAAAGGAAATCCACCTGCTACCCACTCATCCAAATCCTTATCAAGGCAAAAAGGAGGATAGTAACAGTGCTTCTGTTTAGACTCCTGATTGCTCCAGGGCAGGAAGATGTGTGTGTTGACCAGCTGACCACCACTCACCATGTGGGACTTATGGATCAGTGTGGCAAAACAGAAATAAGTAGCTATCTTGATAAGAAGCTGCTCCTTCACTGGATCCTTTCTCCTTTACAGTTTCTAATGCATAAGTATGCCTCACTTACATTGCATTTCACCATTTTGAATATTTGAGTGTTGCTGCAAGCAACTGAGCTAGCTAACATGATGCTTAATGCAGAGGAAGACAAAGTGTTTTATGCTGTTGTGTCAGCAAATGAGATTTGCTTATTTCTAGAATTACTAAAAGTCTGGTTGTGGTGACAAAAAACCGTAAATGGTCCTGAAGTTGTGGTTCATGCCAAGCAGATTATTGTTACTGACAAATACTGAAAGACTTTGCTTTGAACATGGCCACACTGGGTAGAATTTTGTGTTCTGATGTTAAGACTATGTCTCTGTCTGAAGGGAATTTGCAGTCCTGGGGAGAATTCCTATAATAAACAGCTGAAAGTATTTGTCTTTATATTTTAGTACCTCTGGCACCTATATTGAGAACTGTTTGAGGTTTGAAAAATAGCTGTAGATGTGTTGTATGTGAGCTAACGTGTTTGGTTTTGTGGTATTAATAGGACAGATTCTGGCTCAACAGTAACTCCACTTCTTTTGTGATTTCCTAAATCATGTCCGCTTAAGTTTTGGGCCCTTAGTTCTCAGCTGTCTCAAGATAAACCCCTGCTTTCTTCTCCCTTTAATTTGGTAACCTAGGTCTGCAGTTTCCCTTGCTGAATCTCTTTGTGATTAGCCCAGCAGATCTGAAGCTCTGTCCTTACTAATTATAGGTGCTCTTCCCAAAGACGAGGAGCAGAATGTGCCAATGATCACCACCTTCCTTAAAGCACAATGCTATTTATTTAGAACAAAATGTTATGGAAAAAACACTTAATAAGCCAAGAAATGACTCACACACCTGCTAAGCGTTGCCTGTCTTCCTTGTGGTGCCCTGGCAAATATGATAAGCAAGTTCTGCCAGCTCTTTTAATTCAGAGAGAGCATCTGTGTGTCAGATCAGGCTGTCTCTCTGCCCCAGAAGACAAAGCTGAGTGCCAGGATAACAGGCATGGAGGACTTGCATGAATACGCGCAGGTTCCACAGAAACACTCTTGTTCAGCCTGGAGCACAAATGCATAAGTAACATGTGCTGCCCAGCAGTCTGTCCAGACCATCCTTTCCATGCTGTGGGCCAGCAGTCAGTTCTTGAGCATCTCTCCAAAGCTGGATGTGCTCCTGCCGGTAACCCAGGTGCCAGTCATGCTGCTCTGTGAAGTCAAATGCCTGCGACCATCTTGCATATGGGGACAGCAAGAACTTGCATGGCTGGGCAGCTGAGAGTACTCAAAAGTAATCAGTAGCTGTTGGACTTTCTGTATGGCCAGTAATGGGCATTGTCCTATGCTCAACCACATACAAGATCGAAATAGGAAAAGCATCTGCCTGGACAGAGCTGTTGTGCGTGTTGGCTGTGACCCATCCTGGGTGGTCCTGGTGCGTTCCACGCTTCATAACCTTTATGGCAGTTCACTGTAGCAGCATTTGAAAGCTTGGTGTTTTCACTTCCATCATGGGGATATAATGACTCTCAAATACTTAAAAACTATTAAAGATGATGAAGATAAAATGATTTCAACATTAAACCTCTTTCAGCTCAGTTTAGGAGACATGATGCTTCCAAGCCCTCTGGAATGAGAGGTCAGAAAGGGCAGCTGTAGCCCATGTGGGAACAGAATTTTTCTAGTGAAATAAAATGGATTTTCTTTTTAAGAGAAGTAATGATTTTTGTGGTCTGTTACCAGATTGGCAATGGCTCTGGTCGCAGCCTCTTTGAAGTCTGGGTTTGGCTTTAAAAAGAAAAAGAGCCATACTTGTGTCTTACTGTGCTCTTTTTGGGGAGGAAAAGTTTCCTTTCTGCCCCATATGAAAAATCTGGGCCACGTGGCAGAATGGTTGTGCTGTCCTGCACTAAGATGGAAACAGAAGGCTCGTGAGGGCATATTGCATCAAGTCACAGGCTGTGGTGGTAACAGAAGGCAGGTAGGAGGAACATCAGTGGCCAGGCTTCAGGCACTTGACTGCCCGGCCAAGACTGCTGTTGTAGTGGCTGCAAAGAGGGAGGCTGATCAACAGGGTGAGTCAGAGCATTAGCATAAATTGGGGTGAATTCCCTGTGGCTGCACTGTGCAAGGGAGTGTGTTTCGGGGAAGCTGACTCCAGGCACGTACGAAGACCGGGAGCCGCTGGGCTGCTCTACCTCTACTGCTTGTGACTCATGTCACTGTCACTGCAAAGAGCCTTGGACTGCATGGATGATGCAGGCTTACTGTGATTGCTGGCGTTTCTGCCCTAGCTTTGTGTCATCTAGACATGCCTGTACCTGGAGGCACTGACTTCACCTTCCTTCGCCAGGCAAAAACAAGAAGTCACTACCCAGAGGGGGTGTCCTTTGCTTTTGGTCCCTGGGCATAATAAGGCACAGGTGCATTTTGCATGAAATGGTAGCTGTGTTGCCATGCTGTGTCTGAATGCCTAAGAAAGCAGGGCTCCCGCAGCCCTGAACAGCCAGTCCGTTAACCAGTTACAGCTTCCTTGCTCCCAGTGCAAATGTGAGAAGGCCACTGCCAGCCTCTTGGTCTAATGCACAGTAAGGAAGGGTTACTTGACAGCTTTTCTAGGTGCAGGGAAGGCGTTCCCACTGCACCTCCTCGCCATGTAAGCCATGTGTGGGAAGCGTTGACCGTGCAGTTCTGTGGTCCGTGCTCCTAATTGGGAGGCAACAGGAAAGTGACTCATGTGACATTGCATCCCCTTCTGCACAGGGAACATGGTGACTCGAGGGACAGGCACTGGGCCACACAGTAGCTGTGAGATTGACAGCAAAATGATATAGGCTGGCAGTGACCAAGCCCTTGGCTGGTTAAGATCACTAGTGAAGGCATTTGAGCTCCCCTTAGGAGTTCCTCAGCTATCAATGACCTGTGGGCACCAGCAAATAGAGTTCTGCTCCATCAAGAGCTGTCATACTTTGCCAGTGTTTTAATTCCTGTGGCTGAAAACAGCATCCAGTGATGACAGAACAAGGTATTTAATGTTAGCCTGTTCTCATGTCTGCTTGGGTAACTCCTCCGTGCATGTAGGTGCAGTAGCATAGTCTGAACTTTTTCCTGCACTCACTGACCATGTCCTGATGTTGCTCCTCTCTTGGCTGATTCTGACCTATCAATATTCCTTATGAGATTGTTTTTCTCCATCTGCTCTGGTTCTGCTATTGATCTTGACCTGGCACTAACCTTTTCCAGCTCTGCCATGACATCTCTCCATTGCAGATTTTAATTCTTCTTATGTTCCTAACCTTGTCTTATCTCAGACCCTGCTACATGCTGAACTTTTTTGAACTGACCTAAGAACAGAAGCTAAACTTAGCCATGCTGAATTCAGTAGCTTCATCTATTTATACCAAGGCCAGAGTTTTCCTTGTCACTCTTCCTGCTCTAATGTCAGCTCTCAGCAGCTCTTTGGTAGTTCAAGGTGCTGTGGTATCTTCCCAGTGCCAAATACCCTGCCTAGTTATGTCTGTCTGTGCATGGTGATAGTGACAATGTCACCAGATCAGAATGTAAGTGCAGTTTATCTGCCTTGGCTGGAGTAAAGGGTAGTGTGGGTGCAGGGATACAGACATCTGGGCATATTGGGCTCTTGAAAAACAACGGGGCTTTTTTGAGAGGAGGTGGAGAAGAGGGAGAAGTGAGGTTGATGTGGCTTATGTGCTTTTTACAAGTAATATCTACTTAAATTAATCCAATCTGAATTCCACCTGCATCCCTGTACCTCATCTGTAGCAGTCATCCCCCAGAGCCACTCAGCCAGTCATAACAACACAGGGTGAAGTGCGATGTAGTCTGGATGAATCTGGATCCAGATTGTACCAGGGCACTCTGCCTCTTTAATGGCCAGCGTGAGATCTGTCAGTGAGCTGTACAGTGCTGACTATGGAGAATCTTCTCCTGAGGCAGACTAAAGCTGCGGGCACTCTGGTCGCACAGATGCTGGAGGCTGACTGGTGTGTCAGTGGAATATCAAAGTCATAACCTGAGTGATTGGTACGTGATGTAATGATTGGACTGGAATGCTGTACACAAGCAGAGGCATCGTCACCAGTTGTTTACTAACTCTGGTGTTACACATAGCCTGAGGTTACATCAGGCTAAGGAGAGCACAGCCAGATTTTTGTGAGGTGGGAACACTAGACCGGTGCCAGGAAAACAGCTGAAAATGTCAGGGTTTTTTGATAGGTATTTTCCTCCTCTCATTTCAAGGAAAAGCCTTGAAACGTTCCCTTGATGGTATCCTTGGTATAAGATTTCACAACTCTCAGCTAGCACGTGTATTTTAAACCCTCAAAGATGTGTGAACTCCACCTTGGTACAGATTGCACCATTGAGGAAAGACTCTCTGTCTTGTTACCTGTGTGTATTGGATAGAAACCAGTTCCTTGAGTCCAGCTTTCCTGTAGGAAAATAAACAACCTCTTGCCCCAGAGTCCCCAGACAATTATAACAAAGTGGTTGTACAGCTGCTTGCATTCCAGCTTCTGGTGAATGTGAAATCGCTGTCAGCAGTGCTGGGACATGCACAGCCCATTCTTAATTTTGTGGGGTACACATACATATCATGTTGCAGTACAGTGGGAGCTTTCCAATATATTTTAGTCTTCTCTAGTAGAAGTCCCATTTTAGGAAATCCATGCCAGCTAAGATAGGAAGGCTGTTGCCTTATAGCCCTTTAAGAGGCTAATGATTCTTTAGGATAATCGTTTTCTCTTTTTTAAATCGCTCTTTAATCTCACAACCTCCAATCCCATAGTGCTTGACTACAACCTGCCAAGACGCCGGCCTTTAGCAGCAGGTAGCTTGCAATGTCAGCTGGAGCGCCTAGGGACTGTCTGGGGGAGAGAGGCTTAATGCAGAGGTGGATGCAGGGTGAGAGGACAGTAGTGTTCTGCTTTCTAGGATCTTGGTTGGCGGAGGCTTATTCCTAAAGTCTGTCACTGCAGGCTAATGCCAAATTCCTTAGCTTTATTCCATATTCCACTGCTTCAAACAGGAATGGGCAGTCACAGTGCTGTGCGTTATACATCTGCGTGTATAATGTTATGACCAGACCCCGTTATGTTTTAAAGCTTACGCAAGAAAATAAGGATCTTACCAAAGCAAGACTCTATCAAAATTATCAGAGGTTTCTGGGTGAAGACTGTTAAGAACGTGTTTAAATCACTTGATGCTGAACTTAATCACGTGCTTAAGATTAAGCAGTTAGTGATTCCTTTAATTTGAGTCTGAGTCTACGCGTAACAGATGCCTTCAGAGTCAGAGGTATGAAGAATCCCTGCAAATCTGCCAGTGCCTTTTCTCTCCAATCCTGGAGATGGCTGAGGTGATCAAAATGTTGTCCAGGGACCGTTTAATGCTGCATCTCTAGTTGAATCATTGGCCACCTATTCCTCTCCTATCCCCCACTTTGTTACCTTCTGTGCTGAAATGGGAGCCTGTAATATGAAATCCCCTTGAATGAAGGCTGTGGATGGCTGTTCTCTTCTAGATCCAGCTGGTGGGAAAGTTCACCACACTTGGTCTGTCACAGCTTTTTCCTACTGCCCCTCCAGACCTCCTGGCAGGGTTGTGTGTATACATTTTAGCCTAAATGAGCGGGCAAGCAAACTGTTATTCAACAGGTTAAGCTGACATCTGATGGCACAGCAGTGTAGAGTGCACATCCACCTCCAACCATTCCTCTTTCTTAGCTGCCTCATTAAACTGGCTTTCCAAGTTTGCACTGCCATGTAGTGCAAAGCAACACAGTAGAGCCCTGGGATTTCTTAGCCCTTGGATTTCCATGGGTGAGCAGACAGAGGGGAGGAGAGCAGACGGCTGTTGCATGTCAAGGGCTTGGCTATGAATGAGTAATTGTGGATGGATACATGGGTAGGCAGATTAAGTGCAACAGCAGCAAGGATTCAGATTTTGCTGCAAGGTGATGGAGTGGCCCAAAGTGGTGATGGATGTAGCTGAAGAGGGCTCCACTCATCTAATGCAAAGCCTACATACTGCACTTCTTGCAGTCAAGCAGTACAAATACAAGAGAGCAAATCTAAGCCAAGAACTGGGTCTCTTCGCTTCCTCCCTTCAAGCCAGGGTGACTTGGTGTATGTTGAACATAAATATAGCTCTGCTGTATCAATCAAAAAAATCTGATGTTTGATTTTTTTTCAAACATCAGCCAGGTGTGAAGTCTTCTAGTTCTGTCACGATAATGAGTTCTGCACCAAAGAAGAGTCAAAACTAGACTCCATAGCATCCTCTGTGAAACCTTCAGCCTGAGAAGGAACCCTTCTGTCAAACTTCAGCCACTTTTCTGTAACAGAATTTGCCTATTTTCTTTGAGCTATTTTTGGCTGTTCTTTAGATATATATGTGGTAGAGGAAGATTATGACAGCAATTAAAAAAGAATTGCAAGACGCTGTGCTGGAGGTAATGGAAGAAAGGTGTCATGGTATGGTTGTGCAATAGCTTCATGTTTTCCATATTGCTCATGCTGGCAAGCACTGTGCGGCGAGAGGGCTCGGTACCTGAGTAGAAGGGTCATTGTGGCATGTTACAGTATTGGTGATATATGTAGCAAAGGTTGCATCAGATGGCTGAGCATCAGCAGTAAAGAACATCTAAAGAGCCCTAAAGTGGGAGAAATCCATGTGGGAAGGCCAGCGGGTGACTACGTGTACCTTTTCCCAGAAGACATCAGATCAAAATAGTTACAAGCTGAATCCCCTAGTTTTTCTCTGCTGTCTGCTGAGAACCTAGTGCACTGGATTTGAAAACAAATAATTTCATACTCTGTGGCCAGGCTAGTCAGAAAGCAGCTATAAATGGGAAACTGAGAAACAATGTCAGGGCAGAAAAGAGCGTTGACCTCTCAATATGATCCTTTAAATTGAAAAAGCTAAAAAAGTCTGGCATAGATTTCATAAACAAGGGAGTTGGGGAACAACACAGTTTGAAAGCATAATTGGTTTTCGTAAAGTTTTTATTGACAAATCCTTTTCCTGATATGTTGCCTCTGTATGAGAGAAATTAAAGCAACTGCTTAGATACCGTTATTTGTCAAATGTTGTACCTATGGATCCTCTAAGAAAACTGAGCAGGCAAATTGCTCCTCTTCCCATGCAGGGTTCTCACTTATCAGTTTTTTTCCTCTGCTGATCTCTCATTCTCCTCGTTCATTTCCGAGGGCCCTAAGCAGAACCATTTGCCTCTCAGCAAGCTCTAATCTGCATATGGAGAGATGATGTTAAAGAAAGATGCTGATAACCATGACACCTGAAATGGTTTTATGCCTTCAGTAGACCACAAGTACCATGGAACTATAGTGTTGACCTTGCTGTATTAATTGCCTCTAGCCTGAGCATACTTCTTGCCTGAGCAGGCTCAGACATTGCATCGGTGTCCTCTAGTAATGCACAGAACTCTTCTTACACTAGCTAATTGAGTCTAACTGTCCCGCTTGGAGGCAGATGAGTAAGTATTAGCCCCACTTTACACCTAGCAAGAGTGGGAGGGGAAAGTGGCTTGCTCAAGTTTAAATGGCAACTGGTATATGGCAACTGGTATGAGCGATGTTGGAGTACCCTGTTTGCCTGCACCTGAGCCCTGTGCATGCAGAAATTGTAAAGTTCCTTATGGAACATGGGAGATGAGTTAAGCCTTGGGCTATCCATTTGGTGTTAGATGCTATATTACTTGCTGGGTGCTAGGTAATGTATTGAGAAAGGCATGAGGGGACCAGGCTCAGAGGCACAATTTGCGCTGCCAAGCAGAATAACAGTACTAGTGACATGGTGGCAACAGGCTTGCAGTGGCCTGCTGAGCGCTGGCAGGAGGACAGCCTGGGTAGTCCGATGGCAAAAAGGATGCTGGCCTCATTTCAACTGCTCAGTCTGGCTGCATCAGTGCCCTGGTTGGTATTTCCTTCCTTCTTCTCTAGAGAAAAGACAAGATAATTTGAAGCATAAAGTCAAGACTTTGCCCTCTGGAGGGATTCCAGGGTTGCAGATGGACTGGGCTCTTTGCAGTGCTGCTGGAAAGCAATTACATATGCAGTTCAGGGGAAGGGAAGAGGAGGAGGAGGGAAAGTCACTGAACTGACAGCAGGGATAAGAAGGTAGCTCATTAGCACATCATCTTTTCTGCACCCTTCTGTGTGGGAGCAGATCTCCATATGATGACATTCAGAGTCTGGCAGGAATGTCATCCTGAGCTAGGAGGAATTTCTCTGCAAGAAAGTGTGAGCGAGTAGGTTTAAAGAGATCAAAAGTGAGCTCCTCTGTGGTCCAAAGAGCATAAAGGTTCATCCTTCATGGTCGTTCTCAAACTTCACCATCAGCTGCTGATCTGGATTATGAAGAGGAAGCATGGAAGTAATGAGGTATTTATTAAAAAGAAAAACAAAAAAAAAACCCAACCAAAAAAGCCCCCTTCTGCTGCACATCTCATCCACTTTTCTTGCTCCAGCCTTGGAGTGCACTCCAAGAGGTACCTATTTATTGCACTGTGTCTATGGTAAATCATAGCTGGGAAAGATGGTGTCTCCCTTTACTCTGTGAACATCCTTTATGGCAGATGAATTTTTAAGTGAACATTAGAAGTAGAGAGCTGATTATGTACCAAGCAGTGACTTGTGCTTGAAGAATTCCAGTAGGAGCCGTGCAGGAGACCTTGCTGTCTCTGTATGGCACTCATAACGATTTGGAGAGCGTGAGTCCTGTGGCAGTGGCAATGGTCTCTTGGAAACCCCATGGTACACTGGCAACAAAGATATAATACACTTAATTATGAGCTGAAGGGTGAATTCCTTACAGGCTTATTGAAAAGTCTCGTGTGATTGTTTAACAGCACTAAAGTGTACATTCTCTCATCCCCTGAGCAGTCCCCATGGCCCCAGAGGAAAATGTGAGCAAAAGCATAGCTTAACCGTTCCCTAAAGGAGGTAGTCGTGAATGGGAAATGTGTGTGTGTGTGTCTCACCTGCCAGGCAAGCGTAAATGGCTATGCACCAAAATAGTCCTCCATGGCTCAGCTCGTATCTCTTTTTTTGTGAAGATGTCTGTGTTACATGTGAAAATATCTGTGTGAGGATCTCGCGTCCTTTTGTTGAGATGGGGAGAGGAAGGGGCAAAAAATGAACCCACACTGAAAACTTTTTAACCCAGTGGAGCACCAAGTAAAGACCAAGCCTTTTTATTTTTCTCTTAATTCTTCTGTCTCCTCAGTACAAGTGTTTTTCAGCTCAGAGTGGGGGAAATGGAGTGCCCACAGGACCTGCCCACAGGACCTACAGCGCCATGGTGTGGTAACACCTCTTTTTGGACAAACAATCAGCTCTGGCAGTCTGGTTTTGCAGCCAAAAGGAGGCTCTTCAGTATTGCCTTCAGCTTGTGTCAGTATAGGAACTGTGCCATTCACTTGGGCACATCCTGCAAGGTGATAGTGACAGCAAGGTGGAGGGCAGAACTGAAGAGAGGTGTTTGTCTTTAATGCAGCCTCCACCGACAGAGGATCTCAAAGCACTGTACAAACACCTGCTGTAACCTCCAGTGGATAACAATACCTGACAGAGAATGCAAGGGACAGAGAAAGAGGGTGAATTCTGCAGAGGGCAGCTGCAGAGCCTGAACAGTAGAAGCTGGGAGAGGAGAGAGGGAATAGACGCCTCACCCTAAATTCCTGTGATCCTGATTTACACCCGTGTAATTCGGTTGGAGTCGGTGCAATTACATTAGTAGGAAACCTGGCTGAGAAATAAAAAATGAGCTCCATGTCTCTTCACCAGTTGTTCTTTGTACTATTAGCACAAGCTTTCTTCACACTCCAGAACACACTCCATCCCGGTTATAGGAAATTGCATGCTGCAACTGTTCAGCAATGCTTTTCATATGTAAAAAAAAGCAGAGGACAAGAGGAGAACACAAGATGTGTGCATCAAATACCGCACAGGTTAATGCAAAGACATTTTGGACCTAATCATCCAGCCCTAGAAAATTACAGCTGGGGCTATTCAGCACCCTCAAGGCAGCTGTGTGCCTGCATGAAGAGGTGTTCCCTTTCATTTGGCAACTGCAACCCTGTGGCATTAACTGCCACAGGACACAGCGGGGTGGCTGGACTAACAGCATTAAAATGGAGATGGTGTTTATGGAAGTGAGCAATTGGGTTAGAAAGATAAAAAGGATGGCATCCACTGGCTGATCTCTGCAGGTCTGGGGTGGGGTCTTCTCCTGCAGTATCCTGTGTGGTTGCACAGTGGTGCCTTGAATGCCTCTGCCTCTCTGGAAAATGACTCAGAAATGTTGGAGAGCTGCAGTTAGTTGTTCTCAGAAAGGAGGTGGCAGGACCTGGAGAAACGAAACAGGAGCTGGAGTGAAAGAAAAACAGAGGTGGACAGTGAGGAATCCTTTTCAAAGTAAGTGTGCGCAGTGCAGCTGCTTGCCATGACATGCTGATGCCTTTTGCTGTAGGCTTACAAATACCCCTTAAACTACTCTAACTGCCCCTTTGCTAGTATAATTTCTAGCATGTGTGTGAGCCTGAGAAAAAGAAATCAAAAGCCAACCAGCCATACCCCAAAACATCAATGCTGCAGAAGTGACTAACTGTGCTGGTCCCTGAGGGGACATGGTGACATCTTTAACCAAACCTAGAGAAGCACATGGCCTGCTCTCCCCACCCACCTCCAGGCTGCCTTGGGAGTCAGGCTTTCGAGCCTGCAGTCCCACTGACACGTGTGCTGCCTCTCCTGCAAACCTTCAGAAGCCCTCTGCTCCCCAGCCCCTCTTCCTTTGTGCCCTAGTGGCAGTGATTAAATATTGATATGTTAATGAGCCTCTGACAAGAAAAACAATGCTGCGCTGCGCAGGCTGCCATTTTGGGGGGCTGGAGCTGGTCCCTGGCTCCCTGAGGGCTCCCGGTGGTACCAGGGACCCCACTGCTGCTGCTGAGCCAGATGTACGGGTGTCCCCTAAAGCAAAGGGACAACTGAGAAAACCAGAAAGCTTTGTGCCCCCTCAAGGCGTAGACTAGAGGGTGGCTGCTCTGCAGCCCTCTAGTTCAGCTGTTTTCAGTCAGTTTTGTGATGGCAGACTGGTGGAGATGCAACTTGCTCTCTCTCACACAAACCTCTCTCTCTGTTTGTTAGCTTGTCTGTTATTGCTGTAGAACTCCTAGTGCTACAGCTGCAGCCCAGGGATCCTGCTCGTGGCCGGGGTAGCACACTGGAGGAGGGTCCTGGGGTAGGAATCTGATACTGAGGGGAAACGATACTGTTTGCTTTCTCCCCGTGCCTGCTGCTCTGCAGTAACGCTCCTTGTGTGGAGCTGCAGTCTGAAGCTGGAACATGAGCAGTGACTGTCAGAGAGATGCCCTTCCTGGCCCTGCACGCCGGCGCTGAATTAATGTGCATTACCCGGTGTGCTGCATCGTGTGCCACGTGGCAATAAGTCACTGAAGGCCAGGGTGTAAATTCCCCAATCCCTGTGGGTTTCTCAAAGGGTAGAGTTTGTTTCGTCTCTTACAGCTTTGGGAGGGGGCATTAGCTTTCAGTCTCATTGAAAATGCCCCACTTGCCTCCCCTTGGCTGCAGGGGCCTGTTCTGATACCTTGTCTGTACTGTAACATGGGTTTCGGTGCCGCATACCCTCTTCCCATGACTCCAACGTGGCAACTGTCCTTGCAGACAGCATTTTGCAACGCCTCAGTGTGCTTCCCATGGTGATACAGACTTATTTACAGGGTCACTTGTGACCTTGCTGTTGTGGTCCCAGGGCTGTGCAAAACCTTCTAAGTCTGTTAAAAAAGCACTTTGGCCAGGCATCTTCAATCTGTGACTGTGCAATGATGCACCTGTACTGCCGATATTAGTAAGCTATCCCTGCAGCCACAAATCTTGCTCACAGTAACAGTACACGCCTGTGGCCATGCAGCACAGGGCATTTTACTCTCTGTTAACCCCACTACTCTATTCCCCATTAACCAGAGTGCACAGTGACAGAGGGCTGCTATGTCTTCAGTTACAAGAGACCCTACAGCTCTACTCGGTTAAGGTGCCTCTTGTGACAGGCAGACAGTCTGCCACCTACCCTGAGCCTTCACAGCCTCAGAGCTGCAGTCTCAGGCTGGGACTACTCTACAGACCTCTACTGGCTAAACAGTGCTGGTCAGGGATGCTGTATTTCTGGCTCCTGAGGGACTGTGAGACTGCCTGTGCACATGCGTGTGTGAGGCTTTTGGAACTGGTGCAAATACTTACTCCCTTTTCCCGCTGCTCTCCCTGCCCTCCAGCACAGATGAACATACTCGGCTTTCCAAAGACAAAATGTGAGTGCAATAGCTGGTACACAGTCCTTCAACAGCAGAGCTCTCACCACTCCCACATGCTGCCAGTTTGGATTTGCGTGGTATGATCTGTTCCTCTCCAGCCTGTTCCCAGCAGCGTGCCCCACAGTTACTCATGGTGGGACAGTCTGTAATGAAGTTAATGTACAGAAAATGCCCTGCTACCATTGCCTGCTCAGATTTCTGACAACAGCGCTCAAATGGAATAGCCATAAAGCTTTGTACTGGAATTGGACCACTAATAGCGGTACACTCTTATTTCCATGTGTTTTAGTAAGGAAACAGCTAGTTCAAAGCATGCATATGTCATGTTCATTTAGGGTCAGCTAGGGAAATCAGCTTTCATTTGTTTTGTTGTAGTTCAGTTATTGCTACTTTGATGTCTTCATTCTGCAGTTCAGGATGTCCAGGGTCTTTCCTGTGCTACATCTCAGAAGCACCTGAATATTATGAAAGCTGCAGCAAAGCACAGTTCCTTCCTCAAATAGTTTACAGGTTAAATAGACAGGGCAGGCAAAAGGTGAAGGAACAGGGGTGGGGGTTTTTTTGCCTACTGTAGGTGCCAGCTCACAGTTTCACTGGCATTCTGCTAAGCTTAAATGGGCACGTGCCTCTGGCGTATGTCTGCAAAGGCTATTTATTTTGCTTCATATTTGAAAGGTGATGACCCAACACAGTAAGTAACTGGTAATATGTATTATCTGGGTTGGGCCCTGAACTGGTACTGGACACTAAAGAGGATTCACTTAATCTAGCTGTGACAGGTCCTTGCTGCTGTGACTGCAGGAGAGCAGGCAAAGGCACAGACCAGAGCTATGTAACAGCTCCTAGGAGGCTCCTCTGTGCTTTAGTGTGAACTGGTATTAAATGCAGGTTGTTCTCCCATGTGTCCCTGCCCGCCTGCCCTTAAAAATCAGAACTGCAGAGTGTTTGCTTTCTGCCGGCCTGTAGGCTGCTCCCTGTCTCTGAGAGATCTCCAGGATCCTGTTAGGACTTTGGATACACCATCAGACGATTGGTGAGAAGACAGCAGTCCTCCAGGGGTTTGGGAAAGGGACCCCTTCTGGGGTCCATGTGGACCTTGGGTGCTTAAACAAGGGTGTAGAGAGTAGCAGGAGGAAGGTGTTCTTCCCATCTGAGCCAGGGAGCTCACCTCAGTGTTAGAGACTCTGACGTTCAGGGAGACGTTCAGCTGCCTCAGGTGCCGAAACAGGACTGGGGACATCACTTGATTACAGGTACAGAGAGAAAATACCACATGCCAAAAGGCCCTAAATAGAGCAGAGAAAGACATAACCTGGCTGGATGCTGAGAGCAAATTCAGCTACGGAAGTGGAAGCGTTTCTACCATGGGGGTGATGAGCCACTGAGACTAGCTAGGGGACCACATTAATCCCCTGTAGTTTGATGCCTTAACGTGCTTTCCCGCAGCATTTGCTTTATCCAGCTCAGTGCCACATTGCTGAGTCAACGGAAACCCCTGTGACATACAGGGTGCCCGAAGAGATGAGCCCTGTGAGTCCCTCAGATCACCACCTTCTGCGTCCAGCTCACTCAGATGCCTTGCGGGCACCTTGCTGCCTTGCGCTCACTCGCCATCAAACCCTGGGAGTTAACCAGCACCTCATTTCTGTCCCTCTCACTTTATGGGATGTGTGAGACTTGCTGCTTTAGCCTGGGACTTGGCGCCCAAGCGGGCAGGGAGAAGGAAGGTGCCGGTGAGGGGAGAGAGCTGTGCTTCACACGGCAGCCAGCGGCACCCCCCACCACCAGGCCAGTGTCAATAGTGGTATTTTTGTGTGAGCTGAAAAGGGGGGTGCTGGGGAGCTGGTTCAGGCTTGGGAAAAACAGTTGGCACGGTTGTAATTGGGCAGGAAACAGGAAACGGTGTCATGAGGTAACAAACAGGAAGCGATGATGGCAGCACAACGCGGCCGGTTTGGGCTCAAACTCAAGGAAAGCGCTCCTCCGCCGCGAGGGGAGGTGGCGGGAGTGATGTCTGCCTCTGCGCGCCCACATACCACTGTTTGGTTTGCCCAGATGCTGTTTACACTGAGCAGCTATTTAAACAATAAGACGAGACCAGTAAAGGCTTATTTGCACTTCCGCAGCCACAAGGAGTCTGAAGGATATGAATGAGTCCTCACAACATCCTTCTGAGTCACATTAGCACTAACAACTCTATCTCGCATGTCAGGAGAGGGGAATGGGCAGCCGTCGAAAGGGATGCTTTCTCAAGGACATGTAGGGGTTAAGCATCCACATCCCACTCCCGTCAGAGAAGCATTGCCTGCTCCTCAAATTCACGCCTAAGGATGTCTCTTGCACAGCCCGAACCATCTTAAAGGTAGTTGTCAGGTTTCAGTTAATGGTGTTGACCCTTCCAAGAGTCACCCTTCACTCCCAGTCATTTCAGCTGCCTCTCCAGGTGAAAATGC